AGACAGTGCAGAACTGCAGGTGGACTCTTCTCATCAAAAAGTTCAAATCAAAGAAGTGGAAAGTTGGCTCCGATGATCAAGTTACTTTAGCATGAAGGTGTCATAGGAGATGGAAGTGTGAAGTGTAAAACCTCACTTTATAGCATCACTATATGGCAGTGGAAAAGGGTGCTCTGGTCACTGAGTTTACACAGAATTGGGGGATTGGAAAATGTTTGTGTGCCCTCCTTAAACTGGCTGTTTTAATGTTATTCTTTGTGAATTAATGAATATAAAGTGATTTTCTTCCAAAAGAAGAAAAAAAAAAGACCATTTATCTACTTCACTGTGTTAGAAAAAGCACTATGTCAATTTAAAACAAGAAGAAAACACATTATCTTGGAGTTGTATAATTCTGGTCCATTTGAAGCTAACCATACTTTTGGAATAGAGTTCTGGCTTATCTCTGCATCCCTCTCCTTCCAGCTCTCTATGGAGTCTCTCCAGTCTGTCGATGTCCTCCGCGAGGAAGCGTGTGAGATCCTGGATGAGATGAGCCATAAGCTGCGTTTGGGAGTCGTTCGGTTTTTTGCCTTCGCCTTGAGTAAAATATTTAAACAGATTTTCTCGAAGGTGTGTGTGAATGAAGAAGGCATTCAGAAAGTGAGTACTGACTTAGACCCAGCCCTTCTGTACCCTGGCAACAACTCGGGCATCTCCTGAGCTGGCAGATGCCGAGAGCCCAGGCACCAGGCGTTAGCGTGGCAGAAGAGGATGTGCTTCTCTGGGGCTTGGTTTTGCCTTCTTCCTTTTAGCTCTAGACTCCTGATTTCAGACTAATATACTTGGTCAAGTACGACTTTCAGACTAGTCAACATACCATGTTCACAGAAGTTAGACACGTAATACAAAGAATTTTATCTATATTTCACCTAGACTCCTCTCCAACATTTCCTTTATCCTGTTTGCCAATGTTTTCCTATAAATAAAGTCATTCTATTATGGTACAGTTAGCAACATGAATCAGCCGGGACATGGCACTTGTGATGTGGACCTCACAGCTGCCGTTGGCACTCCTCACACTCATGTTCTGTAGCGCCAGAGAAGCCGTAGGGTGTGGGCTATGTCCAGCCTCCCCTCTCCTTTGAGTCCGTTGATCCAGAACAAGTTCTCAGTGTTTTTGCTTGTGTCTTTGGGTATCATGCTATTCCCAGCAGAGGCCAGTTATGTCATATCCCTTGGGTTAGGCGTGAACTGTGTCCCTCTGTGGTGGGCTCAGGGGTGCACTTTGGGCAGGAATACCTTAGAGGCGATGCTGGGTTCTCCTCAGCACATCTGTACTGTTCTTCACGGGGTGTCCCTCATCACTTGGTTGAGGCTATGCTTCCCGAGTTTCTCCACTGCAGAGTTTACGTTCCCTCTGTCCATAGTAAGCATCTTGAGGGACTTTGGAAACAGTCACCGTCATGTTTCTGTCCGACTGCCCACTGGGTGTGCATCCACTGCTAGTTTTTGCCTGGATTGCATTGCTCCGAAGACTGCCTAGTGGTCCTTCCCTTGCTGGTGCTATTGGGAAGCTTGCCTTATAGTTTTTATTTCAGAAAAACAGGTAACAAATTGATACCAGTGACTGTGTTTGAGTCTGTGACTTGAATATATCTGGAATCTCAAGTGTCTCTCTCAACTATGTGATGCCCATTCTCCAGGCAGTCAGACACAGAGAAAAATATTCCTCTTATTTTGTGCTACTAATTTATAAATCCTGCTGACTGTGGTGGTGCACACCTGTAATCCCAGCAACTCGAGAGACTTGAGACAGGAGGATTGCAAGTTCAAGGCCAGCTTTAGCAACTAAGTGAGACCCTGTCTCAAAAAAGGGCTGGAGATTAAGCTCAGTGGCAGAGCACCCCTGCGTTAAATGCCCAGTACTGCAACAAAACAAAAACACTAATGAAAGCCCCTGTTAAATCTCTCCCAGAGAAGCTAGCCCTTGCTCTCTGTTGCTGTAAGCACCCAGGCCAGGGCAACAGTTCATGTTGGCTCTTTTCAGTCTTAGGGATTGAACCCAGGGGTACTTAACTACTGAGCCACATCTCCAGTCCTATTTTTTATTTTGAGACAGGGTCTCAATAAGTTGTTCAGGGCCTTGCCAAGTTGCTGAGGCTGGCCTCAAACTTGCAGTACTCCTGCCTCAGCCTCCTGTGTTGCTGGAATCATAGGCATGCACCACTGCAGCTGACTTGGGTTGGTTGTGTAAGGCAGGCTGACCTGGGTCTCACCCTCAGCTCCACCATTCATAAGGTGCATGCCCATGGGATCAACAGGGAAGCAAAGATTTAGACCTTACTTACAAATACATGTTAGTAAATCCACGTCAGATGACTGGTGTAGAAAATGCCAAATAATACATGCTTGTGATCATCGTTATTATTCTGATTCATAAAATTTATATATTTAATATTCTTGTATTGAATGAAATTGTTTAACTAGAACTCTAAAATAATACTTAATCTGGTCAGAGCAAGTGAAGTTTGTATGTATGTAGCGAAGGCAAAAACATGGTTAGCATTACCTTTAAGCATAGACTTGTCCTCTTGATTTTTGATTTGAGGTATGATTTAAAATCATAGAGAATGTGATAACTGAAATTATTCCAAATGTAATATATTTCTTCAAGCTTCAACGCGCTATTCAGGAGCACCCCGTTGTCCTGCTGCCTAGTCACCGGAGTTACATTGACTTTCTGATGCTCTCTTTTCTTTTGTACAACTACGACTTGCCTGTGCCGGTCATAGCAGCAGGAATGGGTATGTACTGATCTGCTCCTTTTTTTTTTTTTTTTTTTTTT